CCAAGTAGGGAATAATAGTGGGAGTGGCCTCTTGTGATGGTATTGGCGCTCTCCAGGACGCGAGCCGAAGCTACAGCCAGTCAATATCTGCATCGATCATAGATGGACAATCTCAACCTCATTGTGAGCTAGATGTTAAGGTGAAAGGGTCCCATAGTCCTGAACTTGTTTCGTAACCTATCTGTGTCGTCTTCTTGTCAGGTCTGCACCTCGGGCTTTTGGCCGACCCACACACCTCCAAGATGTGACATACCTGTGGACATGAAGTCCTTGATCGACAGGTAAGTTACTGAGCTGCTCCTCTCTCACTGCTATTGGACCTAACTGCAGGTTTGAGACGTTCTATCTATCGAAACACAGTGGACGGAAGCTCACGTGGTTATTCAACTACGGCACTGGTGAGCTACGCGGTATTGCTAGAGGAACGATTCCAATACTCTTCGCTGTGGTTGTCACTGATTACTTTGCCTCAGTCGATATTCGGAGTAGGGCAGGGCGTAGCCCACATGTCCTCACCGTGAGTACTTACCAAGCGATGATACTCCTCATGTTCAACTCATTGGAATCACTGAGGTGAGCGCATCGAAATGATTCGCGCTGAGGCCAACACTAGTGGCATACAAGTTACGAACGGATAAGATCTTCGTTGAACTGTGGAAGGGGAGAGAATCCAAGCGTGAATGAGAAGTCCGAACGGGAAGATGACGCGGAAATCAAACGGCATCTCATGAGCCTTTATGTGAATCCGAGAGTGCGGTAAGGAACCTCAGTGACGGTGGCCATCATGACCTCTCGTTACCGCCACAGAGTGTTGTTGCGAGAGAGCTCACAGTCATCTAAGGAGCCCACTTCTGGTGACATCTTCCGGGTCAATACTGAGTTCGAGTCCCGTGTCCGAAGCGTTAAGGTATGCAACATATCGGCTTCACCGCCGTGTGAGTCTCAGTAAATGGACGTCCTCAGGTACCGCTGATAGCTCTCGCAAACAATAAAGGTGGGCCTTTACTCTCCTTAACCCTGCCATCACTAGTTTATGCATGTCAGATGGAGCCGCAGAATCTTCGTCAAGTGGCAACGCGATCCCTCAAGTCGTAGAGGAGGACCGAAAGCACATCGTTGAGGCCGTCTTGGTGAGCATACATCAGCGATCTGCTAATTTCAAGGGCAGTATTGGAATCAATGTTCGCTTCCCTTAGCTGAGTTGGCAGTTCTCTCACTAAGTATAGGCGTTTACACGCGAATTCTGGTAGGACTTCTACCGTAGAAATATTAGTAAACCAATGGAAAATTCCAAAAACTCCCTAAAAATTTCTCATATTGTCACCAACACATGTAGTTGGCTACGTGCATATTTTCCCACTCTGTTGAAAGGTACGTATTATGAAGAGCAGGAAGCAGTTGGATCACAACTTACTTGTCGTCGAGGCAACCGAACAACTCTCGCAGAGGTGAGGCTCCGTCTTCCCTTGCTAACGGAGCATCGACCCTTCGGTGGCCTATTAGGTTTCGGCCAACCCCTCAACTCATAAAACAGCGCATCGAGCACTTGATAGAACGAGATTTCCTTGAACGCTGTCCCCATGATCATAAGACGTATAACTACTTAGCCTGACATCCCAACTCCGTTGATGATCATCCGTCCAGCACAGATCATGTCGCTGTGGGAATCACTGCTTTTGAAGCATTGATCACGGTAACATAGTTAATAATTATAGAAACCACATTTTATCATTGCATAAGACTTGTCCCAATGACTCAGTACTCGAGTTGAAGTATGTTGGATTGGGGTCCTAACAAACTCGTCGTAGATCGGAGTC